GATAGACGGTGTTTTCGGTTATACCGGTGTTAAGCCGCAACACCGGTTACGTCATTTGCCTACCGCGGCACCGCCCCCCCACCGTTGTTTTGATTTTTTTATAGTAACAAAAATCATTTAGCCTAGTTCACTTAGAGGACAGATACTTTTAAAAACAGATTTTATTTATCACGTGAGGAGAGTGAGTCGAGCTGATTGACAAGAGTGAGATGAGAAAGACAAGATGATGGCAGAAGATTGTTTAGAAAGGAAATGCAAAGGCGCCTGTTTGGCAATATTTTAGATTTTGAAAAGCCTGTTGACCGGAAGTTTTTTTAAACATTTGTTTCTTATTTATTTGGTTCCACAGTGTTTGCTGATTACTTTATTTAAACTTTGTGTATTTTATTTATATTATTTTACATCAAGGTGTATATGCCGTGCCTCCTGTTAGTTCGTTTGAGTGTATATATATATATATATATATATATATATATGTGTGTGTGTAAGAGTAAATTAAGATTTATTCTTCAAAAAAGTACCGTTGAAATCTGTAAGGAACAAGAACCGTTTAGAAAATTCAGAACTGAACCCATGGAGTCGTTAAATTCATTACTATTCCCATTCCCCATAGACATAATCAAGAAAACCTTTAAAGAGCACTTATTATGCAAAATCCACTTTTACATGGTGTTTGGACATAAATGTGTGTGAACACAACCACCCTACAATAATAAAAATCCACCCACTTGTTTTGATTTTTTTATAGTAACAAAAATCATTTAGCCTAGTTCACTTAGAGGACAGATACTTTTAAAAACAGATTTTATTTATCACGTGAGGAGAGTGAGTCGAGCTGATTGACAAGAGTGAGATGAGAAAGACAAGATGATGGCAGAAGATTGTTTAGAAAGGAAATGCAAAGGCGTGCAAAATCCACTTTTACATGGTGTTTGGACATAAATGTGTGTGAACACAACCACCCTACAATAATAAAAATCCACCCACTCCTTAATTTTTCAACCACATTAAACCAAATCAGTCTCATTAGACATGCCGTTTTGATTCACTGAGCAGTGTTGACAGCACATTGTTTAGGCCCCGCCCACAGCCGCTGACTGACACCGCCGTATTAACAGAGACCCCGCCCTGAGTGAGCCGCACACAATCCGCCATGTTTATCTTCACACTAGAGCCTTTGAAAACAGCATTCAAGTCAGAAATATCTTCTTATTAAAGTTAAAGAAGTTATTCAGTCAAGAGCAGTGAGTGATTTTCTGTTTTTATTTATTGTTTATACCATATTAACAACGTAGACAGCAGTAGGTACTGTATATTATGCTGCTGTCACTTAATACACAGATCTAATATAAACATGGGATTTCTTTCCCAGCTTTTTACCTTCACAGACATAACCGACTGCTTTTGTAGCGCGTTTTTAACATAACCTTGTATTTAGCAGTTTAAGTGCAATAAGATATGAAAGAGAACTTAGTTTAGTGCTCACGTGCCGTGTGACAGCTTTCTGTGCACGTGCTTCAGATGTGTGCGCTAAAACACTATATCAGAAGTTTAAACTGACATTGCTTTAAAACGCATGATTTCAGCGCAATATACATGATAATCAAAACCAAACAGATGTTATTTGGCAGAGTATTTGAGGTATGACATATGACATATTTGAGGCACAGCCCCATTCTGGAAAAGGGGGCGGGGAACAGCAGCTCATTTGCATTTAAAGATACAGGCACGAAAACAGCGTGTATCTGCTTCCACTCAAAATAGGCATTTTCAAAATGGTATAATAATTGATCTGGGGGTATTTTGAGGTGAAACTTCACAGACTCATTCTGGGGACACCTTAGACGTACATATTGTAAAAAGGGGCATAATATGTGCCCTTTAATATAAGTTGTCAAATATTTAAAATGCATGATTGACTTTTGAAACTTATCTATTATAATTTTCACTGTTCTAGTTTGTAGATTTGCTATGTTCTCACAAACGCTCTGCGTTTGAGTTATTGCACCTGCCTACAGTTCTGTAGAATCACTTGTGAGCTCCTCACCTGGTAATCAAACACATTAAATCCACTGCAACAGCAAAACACATTTCTGCTGTGCAGGGCTACACAGCCATTAGCTTTGAATCACTTACCAGCGCAGCCTATAGATATTCACAATATGAAAATAAAGAGAACTGTTAGGAAGCGTTCAACAATCTAATCACCTCAACACACACACGCACACAGGCACGTGACCTGAGGTAATGGGTTCTTGCCCACGCAGCCCTCTCCTTTCTGCTGAGCTTTATTGAGGCTAATGACGTCTTTAATGTTCCCCACCTGACTGTGCATTTAGATTGTGATGTTACCATCACTGCACACACAGACACACACACACACACAGACACACA